TCTCAGATCGGTCGCAATAGGAGTCTTCTTTTATTCACACCATTGTTATCGCTACTTTTAGCTCTGGGAACGGTTTGTAGAATCTCCGACGTTACTAGACTCGCCGAAAAGTAACAACAAGGCCAACTCATTCCTTCTCGCTCAACAACTCCGGCCAAAGGCTCCTTCTCCCTTATCGTATGCAGAGGACTTGTCCGGCAGTACCAGCAATCGAGGGCCCCTCCCTCCGATGGCTCCATAGCTTCAATTCGTTCGTAGATCCAAGTCGGCAGCAACGAAGAAGAGTAAGCAAAGGAAGAATTGCACCGCAGGGTGAAGTGAAGCCAAGATACTACGAACAAAGAACTAGGGGAAAGAAAGAAAGAAAGAAAGGGAGCAGGAAACAAAGAAGTTGCACACGATGAGGCATAGGGAAGAAGAAGGAAAGAGAAAGAGAAAAAGTGCCACATCATACACTACACACAGCAATTTAACCGGGAATTGGGAGGGTACGTATTAAAAAGAGGATTTGCCTTGTTTTTTATTGTTCAGGGTTTGAATGGGCGAATTTTCAATACAGGGCCAAATTGAATTTTATTAAAAGTTGAGGGGCTTATTTGATAATTTTCCTTTCTTTTTTCAAGTAATCAATTGTTGTGTCATTTGGAGAAGCATTATCGACCACTATAGAGAACACTTTTTTCATCCCCCACTCTCTTAAACATATCTCAACTATCTTGCCTATTTCTTCTCCAACATAGCTAGTGATTTTTGTGAAATTAATTATTCTTTTAGGCAACTTCTAATCACGATCTAAAAAATGAGCAGTAACAACCATGTAATTAATGTTCTGAATAGATGTCCAAGTATCAGTTGTGATACTTACTCATTGGTCACTAATCACACTTTTTATCTTAGCGTTTTCAACTACGAATAAATCGTAATAATGTTTGCAACTTTCTTCTTATCAGGAATTTTGAGCCTAGATTGCAACTCGTGCAAAAGATTAACAAATCTTTTCTCCTTTACAGCACGAATGACATTTCATCCATTATAACAAATTTGGTAAGTTTCAATTCACACCGTGTTGATTAAAAGTATGAGGAATTAATGCACTTGTTCCATCAACTCATTCGTGAGTACAACTTGACCTCTATCACTCCCCGCGTCATATAGCGGACTTGACTTGCATATCTTGACTAACTGCTTTTTTAAACCACTAGTACTTCAATAACCGACCGAGATCTCAACTTTACCGAGCTTGCATATTGTAATATTTTAAATACTCCCATCTGCCAACGCCCTTGTACCCTATGCATAATGTTCCCAATATACGCTCCTCGCTTTAGGTGCTAGAAGAGGCCTTTGTGCTAGACCCCCTACAGTAGGCCCACGACCTGGACCAGCATGCCTAAGCCCAATTCCATTGTTTAATAGGCCAGTCCAACCAATGGACTCGGCAACTAGAGCTCAAGCCGGCCCAATCGATCAAGCCCATCAAAGAATGGAAAGTACAATGGAGCGGAAGTCCAATGATGCGGAGGCCCAAAACAACCTGCCTACCGGCCATAAGTCTATCTTCCAGCCCAGCCAGGACAATGCCTCTCGCTAAGCGGAGAGCATGTCTCCAACCCAATGGAGAGCCTGCCTACCTGTCCAACCAGGAGCTGACTTGTCGGTCCAACAAGGAGGGAGCTCAAGCGTTAGGCTTGCCAGCCAAGCCGACCCGCCAGCCAGCAATAATAACGGCTAGGGACAATTAATGCACTACTTAATTATGTATTTAATTCAGTATTAATGTTATAATTAATTAGTCATAATTGCTGGTCGCGATTACTATTTGTAAATGCCGATACAAGTCAAGTCTAATTCAAATAATGGACAAGCTATTTCTTGCAACTAAACCTCCTGAGCACTTTCTATTTTCGTATTTTCTTGATTCTTGCTTGAGTGTCTTTCATAGCTTTCCTAAAAGCCTATGAGCTTTCCATTTTTGATGTTGCTGGGAAGCGATTGCACCTGTTAATCGTTGCAAAACTCGTCGGTTGATGGGGCTCATTAGCTGCGTAATGGTCTCCCCGACAAAATAGGAGATGGATGCCGGCCATGGGAATCTGACACCGACCTAGAGTGTCCGCCGACCTAGGGGTTTGCTGCCATATTGCACCGTCGACTTAGAGGGTGTATGTCGCCCTCATATTATGGCCACCTGACCTGGAGCTCGTCGGTCAACCAAAGGGATGCGGCACCTTTGTTTCAACTTTCAAGGAAATAAGGAAAGAAAAGAAGAAAAGAAAGAAAAGAAAAAAGGGGAAAGATTTTTTTTAAAAAAGTGGAATGTTGGAAAGATGATCGGGATTCCCAATTCTAGATTCTCAGATTTGGAATCCCACGCTCAGGATTCCGCGCTCCGAATTCATGCGCTCAGGATTCTTGCGCTCAGGATCCCTGCGCTCAGGATCCCTGCACTCAGAATCCATGTGCTCCTGATTCCTGCGCTCAGCCGCTCAGGATCCCTGCGCTCCGGATCCCTGCGCTCTGGATTTATGTTCTCCAAACTCCTGCACTCAAGATTCCTAAGCTTAAAAATTCTGCGCTCCAAATTTCGCGCTTCGGATTCCTACGCATTGGATTCCTGCGCTTTGGACTCCTATGCTCTGAATTTCCTGCGCTCCGGATTCCTGCACTTCGGTTTCCTGCATTCCGAATTCCAGCGCTCCGAACTCCTGCACTCCGGATTCTTGCACTCGCGTATGAGGTTCTGCCGTTTTTGAAAGAGGAAAGAATTGAAAAAATAAATTGACAATCTAAGTTAATGAAGCCCAGAGCTCTCGAGCCGTGTTGCAAAGGCTGACTGACTAGGACTACTCCTTAGCCGAGTCTACTACTCGACTAAGGGAGTGGTAACTCGTGATGGGGTTATGCCATAGCCTGGACCTGCGAGTCCAGGCCCACAACCTGGACCAGCAGGCCCAAGTCCATTGTCTCAACAAGCCAGCCTCTAACCAGTGGGCTCAACAACTTGAACTCAAGTCGGCCCAAATGATCAAGCTCGTCAAGGAAGGGGAGTCCAAACAGAGCGGAAGTCCAACGAAGCGGAAATCTCGAGACGGCCTGCCTACTAACCAACCGAAAGCCTGCCTTCTAGCCCAGTTTGAAACATAACTGTTTATGATGTTTTCTGTGGCAGGTAGAAAACATTTGAGCAACGGGGAGCCTATCTTCAGCCCAATGGAGAGCCTGCCTACCAGTTCAATGTGAGAGCCTGCCTGTTAGTCCACTAGGGTGGGAGCTCAAGCGTCAGGCCTGCCAGCAAGGCCGATCTGCCAGCCAAGAACAGTAACGGTCAAGACAATTAATGCACTACTTAATTATGTATTTAATTTCATATTAATGTTGTAATTAATTAGTCATAATTGCTGGTCACGGTTAACATTTGTAAATGCCTATAAAAGGCAAGTCTAATTTAAATAATGGACAAACTATCTCGGGCAACTAAACCTCGTGAGCACTTTCTTCTTTTTGTACTTTTTCGATTTCTGTTTGAGTAAACATGCTCATGGATGGTCAAGGCTCATGGATGGTCAAGGCCAAAAAGCAAATAAAAAGCTGCTTGCTTCCAATGTGGTAAACATGCTCATGGATGGTCAAGGCCAAAAACTAAAACACCTATTAAGCTTTCTGAAGAAGTATTATATGTAGTAGGCTGCCCAGAAATAAAAAATGCAGACATAGGCAATAAACTCTTCGAGACATTTATAAACTCAATAATTTGTTCTTGTTTTAACTTTATTTGAAAACAAAAAGAAGAAAACCTCACTTTGGGAGTATTATCAAGGTTTGAAGCTCCTTAAAAACAAAATTTCAGTTTATATACTTCAAATATAGGAGGATTAGCTGCAACGTTATATAACTCACTAATATAATTCTGTTTTTAACTTTATTTGAAAACAAAATGAAGAAAATCTGACCTTGGGAATATTATAATGTTTGAAGCTCCTTAAAAACAAAATTTTAGTAAAGGACTTTAGTTAAATGATTAAAATAACCAAAGTTTCCAAAAACACAGTTAACAATCATGTTTACAAATTTGAAAACCCAAGAAGCAAATTAAAACGAAAAATGAAATTACTACTAATATAGTAAAGCATAAAACTTCACCAGTTTAAATCTAAATATGTCAAATGTTTGTTTAGTTAAGATTACTTGACTGGAAAGTTCAATTTTTTGAGTTTCTAAAAGGAAAGTTGTTTTATTTGGATTCATTTTATTATAGTAAGTATAGGAGGATTAGCTGCAATATTATATAACTCACTAATCTGTTTCTGTTTTAACTTTCTTTGAAAACAAAAAGAAGAAAACCTGATGTTGGGTGTATTATTGTGGTTTAAAACTCCTTAAAAACAAAATTTCAGTTTCAATACTTGAAATATAGGAGGATTAGCTGCAACATTATATAACTCAGTAATATGTTTCTGTTTTAACTTTCTTTGAAAACAAAAAGAAGAAAATCTTACCTTGGTAGTATTATTATGATTTGAGTCTCCTTAAAAACAAAATTTCACAAAAAGATTTTAGTAAAATGATTAAAATAACTAAAGTTTCCAAAAACAGACTTGACAATCATGTTTACAAATTTGAAAAAACAACAAGCAAATGAAAACGAAAATTGACATTTCTACCATCATTATAAAACATGAAATTTCACCAATTTAATCCTAAATATCTCAACGGTTTGTTTAGTTAGGGTTACTTTACCGGAATTTTCAATTTTTTGACTTTCTAATAGGAAAGCTGTTTTACTTGGATTCATTTTATCATATTCAGTAACTAGTAAGCCTGAACATGCTCATTCTTACACTTGTTAGAATACTAAGGTAATTGTGGCTGCCAATGGAGCATAAACAAATAAGATATCATTTTTAAAATAATTCTGCTACTTTCTTCTTTAAGTTCATTATTAAATTCTATTTGCAGGAAGGTCTAAACTAGTGAAACAAAGACAAGGTTGAACGCATTACCTTGATTGAGAGATGCTTTTGAAGTCAAAGATTTTGCAGACAATTTCTATTTGCGATCGGCTCCCTGCTTTGTGTCTTTGCTTGCAGTGGGCTCCCTGCTTCGTTGTCTCTGCGGACCGTGATTGTCTCCTGCTTCACTAGAACCGTCGGTTGCTGATGCATCGTTAACTCCTCATGAGTGCGTCGTGACTCGTGAAAGAAGAGAAAGACTATGACGTTCCTCACTCCTGACCTAACTCTTGAAGTCTTGATTCATGAAGACTAGGCAGACTTTGGGCGTTAGAAAAGAATAGTATTGTTTGAAGTTTTGGGCTGTTGTTATTCCATTGGGCTTATTCAAATTCATAATAGATAAAACTATTACATGTTCGGTTCGGTTGGACTTTCCGTATAACACTGGTATACTGACAATACCGAAATTTAACTGTATATACCGAAGTACCGATTTTATTAAGATTCTATACCGTTACCGCACCGAAGTAATATGGTACGGTATCATACTGTACCGAAAAATTCGGTATACCAAAAATTGCGACATATTCGGTATGTTTCTGTACGGCACATGCGATATACCGTTACTTCGGTATTCTTCCTCACCTCTAGGAGAAACTAGTATTACTTGTAACTAATTAAATTATAGTGCAAAACATATGAAATGTAACTTCTTCAAAAAAAACATATTCCCTCTGTCCCGAAAAGGTTGGCCAAATTTCCTTTTTTGAATGTCCCAAAAAGATTTGCCATTTCCATTTAAAGTAAGAAATATGTGGCTAAAATTAATTCTCTCTCCTCTGCACAAATTTCAACTACATAGTTTTTACTTTATTAATCCACGTGAAAGTCAACTTTGGTCAACCTTTTCGGGACGGAAGGTATGAAATATAACTAGAAAGATAGAAGTGTCATATACAATTGTATAGAAAGAGCTCAATGTTTTATTGGGAACAAATGAATTTCGCTAGAAAATAAACAATAGTGTTTATACTTCCTATTACTAAGCAACTTTTATAAAAAAGAAACATTAAAGTACTGGCTGGTCAATTCATGGATTATTAGAGTATCACTCCATATTATTTTTTTTCGGCAGCAAAAGTTTCAATTATAGATTTATAAACTCCGTATAAGATTAAATTTTCATGATTTGATTTAATTTTTAAATTTTCAAAAATCATGACGGAAAAGTATAATTGTTAAAAACGTGAAGTTGGAGTCCTTTTTAAGAGGAAGTAAAAGAAAACGATTATGATAGATTTGTGAAGTTGGTGATAGTTAGGGCTATAATAAGCTAAAAATCCTAAAAATAAAAACATTTCTAATACTTCCTTTGTTCCATAAAAGTTGCAACATTGGAATTTTTGCACTATTCACACACCTTACTTTGACTACGATTTTCTAATAATATACTCCCTCCGTCCCTTATAACTTTGCCAACTTTCCTTTTTTGGTTGTCCCAAAAACTTTGCCACTTTCCATTTTAGTTAATCAATTTGTGGCTCTTGTTATTTCTCTCTCCTCTGCACAAATATCTATCACACAGTTTTTACTTTATTATTCTACGTGCCGGTCAAACTTGGCAAACCTTTAAGGGACGGAGGGAGTATATAATAAAAATATTATGTATAAAATATTAATAAATTTGTATTAATATAAATTTTCAATATATTAACTTTTTTTAATGTTTACTAATACGTAAATAACTATAATTACACTAAAAGTTGCGTGTTGGCAAACGTGAAAGTCAAATTGTTGCAACTTTTATAGAACGGGGGATAGTACTTCTCTTTTCCCTATCATTTCCATGATCCAGGCATGCCCTAGGTATCTTGGAACCAGTAAATGTTGGGGGAAGAAAATGGGGAGAGGGATCAAGGAGAATTTGTAAAATGTAGTATGTAGAAAATTTAAAAATTGGTCTAAAAAACTCATTCTAATTAGTCCCTCCATCCCATAAAAAGGTTCCCACTTTCCTTTTTTGGATATCCCATACAAAAGTTCTAATTTATATTTTATGAAACAATTAACAATCTTAAATGACAATTTAATCATTAAATATAAAAATATTACGTTTATAACATCAGGGTTATCAACACTGACACCATTATTTACATACCTAGTAAAATTATTTCAAAAAATATACTCGAATTACCTTTTTTTAATTATTGTCTAAATAACCATGTCATTTTGCCATGGGAACCTTTCAACGGGACGGAGGTAGTATATGTTTCTATTATATAAAGATTAAGAAATATAAATACATTTAAAGTTTTATAATATTTTTGAGGAAAAAGGGTCAAATAAACCCTTATACTATTACGAAAATATCATCTAAACCCATGTACTAAATAACCATCATATCAATACATTTACTAGTAAAAAACAATTAAATAAGTCAAGTGACCGGAAAGCCACCTCCTGTAGGAGGTTATTCTCATTTTAGCTTGCTTTTTCTGATTTTTCTTCTCTTGGCTCTTGCTACGCAATACTCAGGGTCATTTTATTTTTTTCTTTTCTTTTCCCTTTTTTCTTCTTATTTCCATCATTTGAAATGGAGCCAAAGATTCATTATTTTTTGGATTGAGGTTATGATGGAATAAAGCAAAATGGCTCACTAAACAGTTTGCGCTTCTTTGTTATGAAGCAACAGTCAGTCCATGCAATTTTGGACGGGATTTTCACTATGGGTCATCCGGAAACAGTTTCTCTGTGCTTTAGTACAGGGGTAAGACTGCGTACATCCGACCCCCCTTTACCCCACCGTAGGTGGGAGTCTTTGCAGCACTGGGTAAATGAAAATGATGATGATGATGATGATGATCCCTTTTTTCTTCTTCTTTACAACCTTGCCCCCTTGCCCTATCTTCTGTACAACCTTGCCCTATTTTCATTTGTTGTCTTTCTCCCAAAAAATATTTTCTGACATTTCTTTTCGATGATTTTAATAAATTATCTTGACTCATAAATATGCTCATTCTTGGAAAAATTATGGAAGCCAAATGTTAACAAAGAATCTTTTAATTTGAGAGAAATTACGCTCTTAGTCCCCTAGTTATTGTTTATATTGAAGTGAAGTCCTACCCTTAAAATTCAATGAACACATTTAAGTATGAAAATTTACAGTAATTAATACTATAATTGTATTTAAAGTTTCTATGATGTAGTTAAGATGGTTTGTTGTGGACTACATTTTGTTGGTTTTGTCTGATCTGTTTTGTTTAAGTCTGGTATGGTCTGAACTGGTCTAGTAAATGTATGGTCTCTGTATATTTTATAACTATTGAAATCTGATCTGGTCTGTTTAAGTCAGATCTGATCTGATCTGGTCTGTTTAAGTCTGGTTTGATTTGAAAACAGTCCAAAAGAAAACATTCTTACTACGATGTAAACCTTGAAAACAACTATAATCACTAAAAGTTACGCATGAGAGTCACATTTTTGTCCATTACTTTTTTATCAATAATATTTTAGAAAAAAACCTCTTTAGGTATTTGTAATATTGACACATTTAGGGTTATAATTTTAAACACTCCAAAAATATTATACTTTTTGTACACATTTCTAAAAAAATTTGCACCTACAATTTGTCTCTAATTAAGGTCAGGCCATATAACAAAAATGTCAGTCATAAAATTCAAAATTTTACCGACATAAATTATGGATGCGAATTTTTAAAAATGTGAACAAAAAGCATACAATTATTTAACAAAAAGCATACTTTCTATAAAAATTGAATTTTATGACCGACATTTTTGTTAAATGGCCTAACCTTAGAGACAAAATTGTAGGTGCGGAGAATTTTAGAAATGTGTACAAAAGTATATATTTTTACGGTCTTTAAAGTTACAACTTTAACTGTGTCAAAATTATAAATACCAAAATGTGTTAATTCAATTTTAAGAGTAAGACTTCATTTCAATATAAACAATAATTGGGGGACTAAAAATGTAACTTCAATCAAATTAAAAGATTCTTTATTAATAATTGGCTTCTTTATTTTTTCCAAGAATGAGCATATTTATGAGTCAAGATAATTTAATGAAATCATCAAAAAGAAATGTTATAAAATATTTCTTAGGAGAAGACAACAAATAAAAAGAAAGAAAACAAGGGAAAAAGAAGAATAAACTAAAAGTACAAATCGTGGAAACATGAAATGATAGGATGGAGAAAAAGATAAAATGAAACTAACAAATGCGTGCAGGCTGGATAAGATAGGCCAAAGTGTAAAAGAACAAAAACAAGGAAAAGAAAAACCAACAAATAAAGCAATCGGAGTATTGCACAGCAAGGGAGGGAAAAAGAGAGAAAAAAGCTAAAATGAGGATAACCTCCTATAGGAGGTTGTTTTCCGGTCACTTGATTTATTTGATTGTTTTTTACTAGTAATTTTAGTAAATGTATTCATAATTTCATATGATGGTTTTTTTAGTACATGGGCATGGATGATCATTTTATAATAGTAATATAGTATAAGGGTTTATTTGACCTTTTTTCCTATTTTTGATCCAATTTGGATTTCTTAATATTTTCCGAAGTAAAACCAAACACGAAAAAGAAAAAAAATTCCTTGACTTTTTGTAAATAACTTCCCCTACTATATTCCATGCTCCAAACATAGCCTAACAAAACCTGGAAGTGTAAAGATCAACCATACAGCTGTACCTAGTAACTTGAGCAAAAAACCAGTCTTTTGAATAGTCACTCTCGCCAACTGTGTACACGAGATCTCCATTTGGATATAACTCTGAGTATCTTTCCCAAAGTCCATATTGCCTAAACCTGCACAATAGGTGGTATATAGAAGGTGGTCTGGACACACTAATTACTGCTACTGATAACACACCAAAATAAAATAAAATTTCAGTGCATATCGATACATTTACCTCTCGGGGTGGTTGACAAAGATCTTGTTAAGAAACTTTGGGTTTGGATCGGGTATATAGAACTCTGCAGCACTGCGGTCAGGGATGCCTATCTCCCAAAGTGTAGGGCCATCCCTCGGAGGCTTGTAAACGATTTCACCGACATCAATTCTACAGCCTGTTCAAATACCACTTTTAGCAAATGAGAAACTAATCAAGAATAAAATGTGAAATTGTGAACTATAATTGCTAAGAAGCTATGGTGTTTAGGACCTGAAGCTATGGTTATGGAAGCTTCATTCTGATAGTCTCCGATGAATCCAGGCACCCAAGCATAAAGATGGTAGTCACTGGGAAGTACATTATTGATGGAGAAACACCCATCCTCACTTGCTCTACTCCAGAATTGGTAACCCTGATGAAAAGGATTTGTCAGAAGCTAATTAAGTAGGAAAAATGGCAACACCAACATTACCCCAGTGCCGCAAAGGCTCCCACCTACGGTGGGGTAAGGGGGTCAGATGTACGCAACGTTACCTAAGGGGGGTCGGATGTACACAATGTTACCTATGTACTGAAGCACAAAGAGACTGTTTCCAGATGACTCTAAGTAGGATAAATGGCAAATATATGAAAAGTAAAAACAAAATACTGTATTACTTCTACTTAGTAGTGGCCATTGTATTTTTACTATTTTAGCAGTGATAGCAGTGATTGCAGAGACCACATTGATGTTCATAATGGATAATTTTTTACAGGAATGAATGAAAATAAAACATTTACCCTTATTTTAGAATATTTTTCTTTATTAATAATAATATGTTTTACACACAGGTCAACTATTAATCCATTTCATTAACTATATCTTTGGTGTTAATCTAAGCTTTGCAAGAGTCGGTGATAACAATGTTGAACATATAGTTGGATGAAACTGTTTTAGAGAGGGAATTATTAGGAGAGGAGATTGACAGCATGTAACCCAAACTACCTTGCATTCTTTTTGCCAGGATCCAACATCTCCTTGTGGGGCCAAGCCCACGTATGCACCACTTGCAGGCATAAGATCATTACAGGCATACCTATTTTAGTAATTTCAAAAGCTTTAGAGATATGTGTTCGTTGAATATTTGTGTTAGATATCAAGATCGAAAGAGGGAAATTGATGTTTATTAAGACGTGAAAGAAGAACAAAACTGAAACGGTACACCGTTGGGCAGTTAGAGCAGCCTATCTCATCCAAACTCCCAGCCCAAGTCTCAAGGTCTGCCTGCCTCTATTCTACTCTCCCAACTCCTATTTATTCTTTTCCATTTGGGCTAGCCCAATGCTATTAAATTCAGGGCCTAAACCCCTTTTATTCTACAATATAAAAAGACTAATATTATTCTTATTACTAGTAGTGTCTAGGTCTCTATCACTACTCCCCTTTCACAACCACCTTGCCCTCAAGGTGGGGAGTAACTGAGTAAGAAACAACCATGCCAGTACGCTTTATCCTTGCTCCTCTACCTTCCGAGTACTTCAGCTTGGATAGTTTTCTTCATTTTGGTATCCACTCAATCTCTTTGTCAACATAGTAATCCTTTTGGCCAAGGTTGTTATCTCCTTCACTGCCCCTTGTCTGATCTCTTACAGAATCTCCAATTGAGAATACAAAGTCAGCTTCAGGACTGTAAGTCTCAGTCTTCACATCAGCAACCAAGGAAGGTAAGAAAGAACTTGGCACACTGCCACCAGGCCAACTCCATATGCATAATCCTTCTTCACCCAACTCATCAGTAAGCATCTTTAATAATAACAAACCACCATCACCCACCATCTGACCAATAGCTGCATGCACAGAATCTCGGGTAGTACTCCGACCATAACAATCTACATCTCCAAGGAATAGAACACCTTGAAGTTAACAGTTTTGTATGAAATCCTGAATTATGATCTCAAAGTACTGTTTATTGTTGGAATGATCAACCAATGCTGAAACATTATCCATTGCAAAGATTTGAAAATCTGACTGTCCAGCCAAACAGTTGAGCATGACAATCAAAACTCCTGGAGCTAGTTTCACTGTCAGTCCCATAGGTTGAAGGCCCTTGGCCGCCCTTAGTATTGCATGTCCTTCAGCCTTCAACCCCTCCCTTGAATTATGCTTCTCACTTAAAAGATCATACAGAACTTTATCTTGAAGAAAATCCTCAGTATCCAGACCCAAAGAGCTCATCCTGATCATTTCTTTGATATGTGCCCTCTCTAAAGCCACCCACAGATCAGCACCATTGTGTTCAATGAAAGGATCAAGGATGAATCCAACATTGCGTGAGACAGAATAAGCAACTGTAGTATAATACCAACAACCTTATGGAAGTCCATCAATCCTAACTTTGAAACATCACCATCATCAATACTGATCCTCCCTCTTTCCAGTTCCACAAGCCTAAAGAAAGCATTAAGCATGCTAGATTTCCCTTCCTTTTTGTTAGCTTCACCTTTCTCTTTAACTGTACAAGGTTGAACATTTACTTCAGCTTCCCTTCCTTTAACCCTTTTGGGATTTAAAGATAAATTCATGGGTTGTTCCCTCTTGGAGACATCAATTCCAGCAGCTTGAATAGTAGAGTCCAGATCCACACTGATTCTACTCAACCAGTGATCTGAAATAGGTCCAAAAACATTTTCATGATTCTTAAATTTGATAACAGCACTAAACTTCTTTATTGCCTGAATTTTTCTTTCATCACTCCTATCAAGAAGTTCATCATCCCAATTGAAAACTAATTATTCAAATGAAATTATCTGTGGATCATCCAGCACCAATGATTTTGCCAAGGCATCCAGGAGTATTATAACACAGTCACCCACCTGAGCTTGGTCCTGACTTTCAGCATAAGCAACACACCTCTCCCTCCAAGAAAATGATAAGTAGTCTGTTTCAGCACACACAAACACTCCTACAAACAACCTTCTAATTGTTTCATGCTCTCCCTACAAAAATAAACTGTCTTGCCATGCCTTCACCCAATAAAGAAGGTCCAGGAAGTTTGATACTATAAATGACCTGATCTAGTTTTTTATCTGGTTCAGATGAATCAACAGATTTTGGCACGGCTTTCACTAGAGTCGAAAGATAAATCTTATCACCTGTCCTTTTTGACTTATCTGCGCTTGTGACCTCCTCCTCCTGAGCTTTCGGTTCTGACAACCTCAACTCAATGTTCATTGTCGGTTATGAAGTTCCTGGTGATCCATTTTCGAATTCAGCTTGGTCTAGGGTTCTGAAAACTGATGAAGCTTGCGCATGGTGAGAAACCGCTAGCGTCCGCATGGTGAGAAACGGCTAGCGTCGACGAACTGTGACATGCGGCCAGAGACGACAATTGCGAACTGGTCGTTGATGACAGGTGAGGAGCGGCTACTGACGGCGAAGAGTCTGGCGAACAAGAAGAAGATGCTGGCGACTGCGTACTGGGCCTGTGAGACGCCCCTAGCGACTTAGAAGAGACCGGCGGACTATGTGGATTACCTCGAGAGTGCGAAGACTTCTCGCTAGCAGCTGGAGTTCGTCGCCTGTTAGTTCGCGACCTTCCAGTGGATTTCCTATGATTCTGGTTCATCGCGATAAGGCGCAGCTCGGCCATCCCCCATCCAACTTGTCTGCTATCGATCGCACCTTTGTGCAGTTGCGTTCCAGTTAGAGCAACCTATCTCTCCCAAACTCCCAGCCCAAATCTCAAGTTCTGCGCTGCCTCTATTCTACTCCAACTCCTATTTATTCTTTGCCATGGGCTAGCCCAATGCTATTAAATTCAGGGCCTAAACCCTTTTATTCTACAATATAAAAAGACTAATACTAGTATTAGTCTTTTTCACTTTGTTCAGGGCCTAAACTTTGTCATTTTCACTTTGTTAAATTCAGGGCCTAAACTCTGTTTCATTCCATGTTCCAAAAAACTTTGTCATTTTCACTTTGGCAAAGTCTACCCGGAGGGGTAGTATTATTCTTATTACTAGTACTGTTTAGGTCTCTATCATTACTCTCTCTGTCAATTTGGTAGTAAGAGTGTAAGACACTTGTTTACCAAAAGACAATGTAAATCTATCCAATGTACTGTCCTTACTTGTCACTGACCAGAAGTCTACCACTGACATTTCCCCGCTGATCTGCTGATAGGAAATCCTTTGATGCTGGAAAACTGTATGGCCAGCTTTGTACCTCTACCAGCATCTAAAAAACCAATCAGTACTTTATCAATCCTCTTACATGTATAAGGCCCCATTTTTTTTATAGGAAAATACTTTTTTGGAAAACGTTTTCTGGTTTTCCTCTGTTTGGCATAGAAAAAACATTGCAGAAAATATTTTAATGTATTCGGCTCCAGATTTTTTTCCTTGATTCTTATGACATTTTTCTAAAACTGTTTTATGCTTTCTATTTTTGTGTGTCAAACATTACTTTTCGCCTAATGTTCTCCAATCTCCATACAAAAGTTCTCCATGAAAACATTTATCACAACTGGTAATTTCCGTTCAAAAAACGAAGCCAAAATATGATCTTTAGAAAAGATAAAAAGTACTCCATATACTGTTAAACCTGCCGTTTGGCGTCTCCCCATAACATTAGGGCATCTTCAACGCGCCTTACAGAGTTGAAATAAATGAAAATTGGGCCAAAAACTTTCTTCCATGGCTCGCCTTGTCCAAATTTTGGAGTTAACTCCTCTCCAGCATAATGAGAACCAAGGAATACCTATTGAAGTGGAAGCATACTTCAGAAATGCGAAATGCTACTATAAACTACATGACCATTCAAGACTTAGAGGTTGCTTACCGCAAGGGTTGTGGGACCAACATGTGATGTAAGGTTCTGTTTGACAGGCCCACCAGATCGAAACTCATCACTGGGTGTGATTTGCCAGAAGCCAACAGGTGGGTTCATAGATATCCATCCATGTACCTTATTATCCTTGTTATCACATGAATATTGGTACTTGTCATCTACCTAGAAATAATGCAGAGGCAATAGAGTTATCACAGCAGTGAATTCATTAAGATTAATCAGTTCTCAATAAAAAACACAAACACATTCTTGCTAGTAAATCAAAAGGAACCAGCTGGTAGAAATAATTAAAAAGAGCTAGTTCATTATTACTTCTCCTCTTAATTCAGGATTGACGGGGTTGACAAGTAGAACTGCCTCTTGGTAGGCAAGGGGCTGGCATCTGCCATGCAACCGGTCATCTGGTAGGGGCATAAGCCTTTGCCTATCGTCTGCCACAGCCATGTATTGAAATCTATTGGATATCATTGCCACATGGTTAGTAACAGTGTGAATATCTTAGAGAAAAGATGGTCATGTTTCAGATATTTGAAGTCAGCGTGAATGTAGCTAAAATGTCTGAATCTGACTGAAAAGAAAAGCATTTAGTAAAATCAATTTGAACCAAATAAGTTAAAGAACTTATCATTCTCATTCCTGACCAATGCTACCAAACAGGGCATTAATCTGCAGTAAACATGATATGACATACATGGGCAAGGCCCTAGCCCCCTTACTTGTCTTTCCTGAGCTTGAATGCTACCCTGGTTTCACCAAGACTGAAAGCAGGCCATTCTGGAGAACCAACATGCTCATAAATGGCATATGTATAGAAACCAGATGAACCGCGGAGCAAAACAAACCTATAATGAGATTGTCATTATAATTCCTGTTAAATGTCATCAAACTTTCAGCAGCCACAATTAACCATCAACTGCTTCAGGAGTCTAAAGAAAAGTAAAGACCTTTTATCTATGTTTAGTGGAACAAGCTTTCCCTGAAGAGAAGGATCCCATGGCCTCGCAAATGATAGCTCAACTTGTTCCTCATCTTGCTTTATTACTCTAAAATTTGTTGCTTTAATCCTGCATCATAGCAAAATTATTTAGACAAAAGATGTGTTGTCTATAACATGCATCTCTAGGCATTGCCTGGTTCTTCTATGCACCCTTAAGAAAACAGATGAAGAAATGGCATACACTTCAAATATTCCAGCTCTCCCACCATCATTTGCATTCCACACAACATCCCAGTACCTACACATTACATGAAGTTTGGATGACTATTATACAAGTCTCAAAGTTAATTGATCAGGGGGGTCTCTTGGAAATTAATACCCTCTGTTAGACTCATTGTTAAGAGTTTCAAGCAGGTTGTCGATGCCATTATAACGAATGCCAGTGACAATCCCCTCTGGCTTTGATAGAGTGACCTGGACTATGCCGTTATCCATCACTACCTGCAATAGTGCTTTTCATTGAATGAAACATGTGTTGATGTGCCAAACACGATACAATGCAAATAAATAAACAAACAATGCATTATCTTACATGGTGATCTTGAATATACAATCGCAATTCGGTAGCTGACATTGATCCAGAACCACCACTATGCCTGTGATCCCCTACAGAATAAGAGAAATTTAAGATCGCTTTAATGGCAGGGGCTAAGAGCCTTTTCTTCGATTTTCATTAGCAATTGGTATGAGCGTATGGCTAAGTTCCTTTTCACAAAGTTAAAAAGATTATATACCAATAAATCAATCAATACCAATGCTATGCCACTTCAACTTTGGTATTTGAGTGATAAAGATAACTTCGAGAAGAAGAAGACCTGTGTTGCTGCTACGTGTGCATAGGCTATGTACAATGCTCCTGAAGTTACGGCCACAACCCATTCTCACGTTTTTAGTCCGTGACTATAACGCGCCACCGCCAACTAGTTGGGATCTTCCTCCAAATATCTTGTCTTAATGTCTTTACATCCTTTAATATCGACCAGCCATCAACCCACCTTCCAGCGTTTGTGTTTCCGGTTACCCCTGGTGCAAATGGGCAAATCCCTTGTGTTTCATTAATACGGTTGAAGCAGACTAATAAAATGTGGTGTATGGGCATATAAATTTTACCAAATTTAGTATCAAAACATCTTAGTGGGTCGAATCGAAAAATAAAAATGGAATAATCTTAGCAGGACGGAGTGAGTATTACTCTTTAGTAACCATAATAACACGTTTTATTACATGTATATGATGTATCGATGTGAGTGATCCATGTTACACAAATAAAAATAAAACAATAAAAGAAAAAAACAAAAAAAAAACTAAGTATATTTCGGTAAAAATAGGTTGTACAAATAGCTAGAACCGTCAATCGTCAAAGCATGACGATAGTGGGTAAGGCCGTTTTTAAGGGATTCAATAGGTTATCCAGAACAGGGATCCCGGATTTATGGGGCCCCAAATTATTAATTTTTTTTAGTATTACATAGTAATATTATACGGAGTATATTAATACTAATCATTAACATACCGTTAGTAAGGAAAAAACTATAGATCCATCATTTTTTTCATTGGTCATTTTACACTTTTAGTTCTTTTTAATGAGTATTCAATTGATTTGAGTATAAGTATTTGGAATAAGATTCTTTTTTAAATTTTTTTATATCAATGTGTGGCCTCGATTTTTCATTGAGAACCGGGGCCTCCAACTTCATTAGACTGTGTGATTATGAATCTATAACGATGAACAAAGCTAGCTTAATATGCATGTTCATATAGTTATCGTGTGTGACTTAGGATTCAAGAATCTCATGTTCATTGTACTTTCATACCCGGCCCATTGCCTAACACCAAAATAAAAGTATATGGTGGATTTAGGGTTGCCAATTCAAACACTTTCAACAGGACGACCCCCATTACTCTTTTTTATCAAACAAAAAAAATCTTAGTAACAAATGCAGCATTTTATATCAAGAATCTTAGTATAACCCTCAGTCGAAATGGACTCACATTTTACATACAATCAACCGTTGACCACAAATCCAAACTCATACAAGAAATAGCTAGCTAGTGTAGTGTACAAACATGAAGATTGAAGATGATTCGTAAGTATGTAATAGAGAAGTCCCAACAGACTGCAGCTTCCTATTGTGATCGTGACTGCTCAGATTTCTTCTGGAAAATGAGTGACCCTAACAAAACAGCAATTCCTGTTATTGCAATTGTGAACAGAAGACGCTTCTTTGAAAGCACCTCGTTAGGAGGCCTTCTTGGAATGCTATTATGATTAGTATGATCACTTTCTGCTTCACTTGTGTTCCTGCATCCACATAGATAAAGAATAAACATCCAACATCCCTATATAGCTAATATTTAGTCTTCCTGGGAAAATGTTTTCCTGGAAAATTCTAATAATAAATTATGGTTCGCACCCAGTAAATCAAGTTTACACATTTGCTCAGACTCGGTTAATTTATTTACGTATGTTATATAAAGGCTAAGAATCGTAGATGTATAACTATGTATACAAAATTTAAAAATCAAATTTGATTTTTGTCAGTACTTTCCAGGTTTAAGGCCAAACATTAAAAAACTAAACTATTGTTTTGAGTCATTGCCATCATTTTCAGGTTCCACAGTGTTTTCTGTGTTCCAAACATAGCCTTAATTTCCAAGGAAACATTTTCTTCTGAAAACATTTTAAATTTGTATTAAGTACTAACGTAACTGATCCTCTGCTTCAACATACAGCCTAGTGTGGAATGAATTCCTATTTCATTTTTGACATCATATAAAGAAACTCAAAAGCTTAACTCAATATTCCGAGTCAGATTCATGAACTACAGCGGCAAACTAGGGCTAGGCATGTTGGCAAACCGTAAATGCTATGGATTCCCTCACAATTGGTTTTGCTTTGGAAAAAGCAAGCAAAAATGAAATACTCCCTCCGTCCCAAAAATAACTTCTCACTTTCCTTACGTGGATGACCCAAAATGAACTTCCGATTTCCATAAAAAACTTTTCAATAGTAAATGTCACAATTACCCACACTTTTTACATGATTCAACATAAAATAGGGTATATTAAGAAATCAAAGCATAACTTTAAAGGGCAGCCCGCAAGGCGAGGGTCCGGGGAAGGCTCCCACCCATAGTTGTCATGGCGCATGGCGACATCCATGGCGCACAAGCCATTTCCCATGGCGATGGCGTAAATATGGCATCGCCACGTGACAAAAAAAACTACAAAACGAATAGTTCATCAACCCAACCACCAAAACATGATAAAAAGGTTGAATAACAACATTCTAACCAAAACATGTGAAGTTAAAATAGTTTGAAGTACTTCCAAAAAACATAATATTCAAAAAAAAGTTCCATGTCTTGCAAAATATGTTAGGATTTAGGCTCGTTAGCTTGTTTTTGTTTGATGATTAATTGATTATGCCATAATCATCATCAATCATCACACTCCTCATCATCATCCTTTAAAGTAAAAACATCATCTAAAGTCTAAACTAAATTAAACTATCAATTTATCAATTTAAATACATTGAGTTCTAAAGTAAAAACTTCATTTTAAATAATCTAAACATACCATTTAAACTATCTGAACAAATCATCTAAGTATCTAACTAAATTTACTTTAAATTATAGCATATTAGCATTTAACATAAAAGGCTGAGCTGTTCTAAACTATCTGAACATTTATGTTAATTTAAAACTTCATTTAAAATTAACATAAATTCTCTGAAGTCTGAACATAAAGTAAAAACTTCATTTTAACATAAAGTAAAAACTTCATTTTAAATTATCTGAACATACCATTTAAATTAGCTGAACAAATCATTTAAGTATCTAACTAAATTTACTTTAAATTAATAAAGTAGCATAGCATTTATTAAATGAACTGAAATTTTCTTTATTTTCGCAGCTTTAAGTTTTCTTAATTTCACGTGTCCGCAGTATGACTTTGTGTCTTTATTTACTTTTGTTAGGGTTGTTATTAGTATAATGGGCTGATGTGTTAAAGAAGCCTGTGCATCGTCATGGCGTTGGCGATAGAATGGCGATGGCGAAGGAATGGCGACGCCATGTGTATATCCAGCGCCACGGCCCTTTTCATGGCGCAGAGGCCATATGCGCGCTTCATGGCGCAAGTGCCATTATGCGCCATCAACAACCATGGTCCCACCACAAATATGTGTATGTCAAACTGGAAATATATTTTTGGGACAGAGGATAATTTTTCCAATTCTGTTTTTGCATATATTTATACTTCTATGTTTAATATAATGGAAATAAATAAAATGAGTTTGATCAAATATCTCAAATAAATTTACTAATTACATTTGAGCCTATCTATTATTTGCCCACAACTTTTCTTTTCCAAGCTTCCTCTCTTTAATTCCCTCCATGTTTTCTTTTCCTAGAATTTGTCTGGGATCCAAAAACACCCCAGGGACAGGAGAGTTGCAATAATAAGAATTTCCCTTTCTCCATAGAACAAATGGAATACCTGGAAAACTCAGCAACATCATTAACTGCTATTCCGTTGCATCTGCTCTCATGAGCATTCCTTTCACGCAGTCTAATGTATCTGCTACAGAGGTGACAAAGTTCTGTACGGCTCCCACACATTTCCTGAGAAATTTTGGTGATAGAAAAAAAATCAGAATCAGAAGAGGGGATGAAATGCTAAAAACCATCCGTACTTGAGGGTCACCTGATGATTTAGCAAATCAACTGCAGGTGAAGGAAACTCGCAGTATTCACATGTAACAATTCTTTGTGGGCAACTTTCCCCCTTGTGAACTTCAATAACCTCACGTTCTATTGTCTCGTTGCACAAGGAGCATGAAACCTATATACCAAGACAAATAGTGACTTGATTAATAATAATATAAACAAGTTTAACTTTATCTTATTAGCAACCCTTTTAGTCATCGGTCAACCAGATGAAATTGTTAGTGAACCGCACTTTCTCAACATGGTAGTTGTAGACTGCTAGTAAGGTGTTATCCTATCAGACAAAGGATTTGGAAAGGGAAAACAATGAAACAGAGGGAACTGAAAAGCATGAAGCCAAACTGAGTTTGGTACTTTGATCAGTTTTGAAATGCTAGTTTGAGCAGAATATTTTGTCCTACCATATCAAGGTGTAGGCTCCATGCTGAAAAGTAAACCTAATAGTAGAAATCATTCGGACCTAATATGTTAATTTGTATTTTATATTTGTTTAATGTGGATGACTTGACAGGAATTGTCATAAAATGATCTTTCATTAACTCACTCTAGAATATTTTAATTTTACCTGTACATTGCAATGTATATGCTCGTGAAAAGAAAAAATATCATATTAACATGGACACCAATTTCAATAATGCATGGATCCCCCCTAACATAAACATCTGAACCTTGAAGTACATGAGCACATTTTGAATTGACACCTCAAACAGTCAAAAGGAGGTCCTGAAGAGGTGACACACAGCTATATACTAGACACAAATAAAAGAGGAATACAAAAACAAAAAATTAAGTGCACTCAGTATGTTTCCAGTAATTGAGAATTCCACTACATTAAAAAAAGTTTTAAGAACAAAAAATGAGGATGTACACTGTGAAAGAGATCCAAATCACTTACTGGAGCATGAACACTTAAGAAATGCTCCTCAGCATGTCTCTTTGGGACCATATCACCACAAATTTTACATTTTCCTAGATTCCGAGAACAGTGAGTGAAGTGCAAATCAAGGTTTGAAGAGGGAACTGCTCTGTCACTGGAAAAATACAACTATAAATAAATCACACTTTTTAAGAAAATCTAGTAAGAACAAGATGAGAGTTCCAAAACAACAAGACTAGTTCTAGGATACTAAGATATGTGTGCATATAATGCAACTTCGCACTAACAATGACAAGGAACATAATCATTCAAGCATAAGAGCCACAAAAGAGCACAACAGCACATGCACATCATCCATCATAAACACTATGCACAAGGATATGCAGAGGAACCCAATAAAGAGATATAGTTGCTTAAAAAACTCCCTCTTGAAATAATATTATTATTCTTAGAGTCCTTTCCTTTGCCATTTTTTCTGCGCATTAGATTTTTTACCAAACACTAATTCTTTTTTGTCCACTTGCTGAATTGTCTATTGATGAAAAAGAAGTAAGAATGAGGGGTATCGTTTTAGACATTTTCATATGTTTTAAGTATTTCATAATTCAGAAGAAATGTGTATTGAGCCAAAACTTTATTCAACAGAATTAGCCACTTTAACCTAATTAACTTTACCAAACTGGGCCAGTTAGCCAAGCGTAATCAATACACAATGTCAAAAACTTTGATCAAATTGCAAGCACAAATAGCATGTAGAATATCAAAAAATTGAGAAAAAAGAACTAACCAGTGGCTGCAGATGCTCGTGGCTTGATCGGGAGGTACATCCATCATTTATTATTTACCACCGGGAACTTTTCTATAGCATCTGCAATAATGATTAGATAAATGAACATGAAAAGAATCATATACTCTGTACTATAAAATTTTCGTAGACCAAAATCTTAGCTTATATCAAGATAATGGAGCATTGATCAGGGAAAGAATTGAATTGTGATCAAGATTTTATCATCAGGAGAAATAACTCGATTCTGGTCATTATAATTATAAGTTGGGATAAGTATAAGAACTCACCTGAGATTCAATTGAATTGTTTACTTTACTTGGATTGAATAATAAGATCAAGAAAAGGATCGTGCGAGAAATGATTCGGTCGATGGAAGTAGGATGAGTCTGTAATTACGAACGCAGATGACTTGTCTTGATGATCTTGCAACTCCGCTGATGTATACGCCGTACGCACTCCGGTCTAAAGCTGAATAAGGATCATGCTGACACTTTGAAGGACGAGAGCTCGTTAGCTCAGCTAGTTTTGGAGGCGCATTTAGTTCCCGTAGAACTGGCCAAATTTGCTTGAAAAAACAAAAATTGAAAATAATAATCCGGAACTATTGAGGTTCAGCTAACCATAATCCCAAGATTATTTTTGTATAATCTCAACTATATGGACCGTCTACCAATAATGGTCCATGACCAAATATTACCTTCTATAAAAGTGAATTTTAAATAGAAATTAAGCTTAAAAATTAAAAGTTAGGATAATTTATAGGGATTATTTGCTATATCTCTTCTCATCCACTTTAGAAAGTACATAAACTTATTTACAGGGACTATTATTGGCGGAAGGTCCCTAAAATTGGGATTACTCTGAAATAATCGATAGTTGGGATTATTATAAGCGGACCGCCAATAGTTGAGATTATTATAATCAATTTTTCCCGAAAAAAACTAGAGTTCTCTGAATTTTGATAAAATAGAGTTCCCGTAGAGCAGTCAAAAATAATAAAATCAAAATCGTAAAGTTAAAGTTTGTGCATAAGAGAGAAAAATAATACTCGAAAAAGTAATAAAGTTTTTGACACAACCAAGTATGGAAGGAAAGATGACAAGATTTTAATAAACAAATAAGTATTTAAATTTCTTTTTTCATACTCATATGTCCCTTTTTATAGCAAAATTTGATTTTTCGGTATCTAAGTTTGACTTATTACATATTCATACACATAATTTTTGACAATACTAAAAGAGGAAATAATCAAATAAGCTATCCTAGTATTACTAAACCTTCACTTAAGCTCGTGTATTAAAAAAAATTACTCCCTCCGTTCCTAAATAAACTTCCAACTTTCCTTTTTCGTCCGTTCTAATTAAAACTTCCACTTTCCCTTTTTAGTAAAGAATTTGTGGTTCACAACATTTCTTATACATTTCTTTCTCCTCTGCACAACTCTCCACCACACAATACCCACTATCTTAAACTCTGTGCCAAACCTATTTGGAAGTTTTAATAGGAACGGAGGTAGTATCATATAAGTACACTTACTTTAAAAAAATGATCAATTTGGTCATTTATTCAATTTTTGACTTGTAATAGTCAAATTTTTATATTAAAAAAACTAAAAAATGTTAAATTTTGAATAAAAATAGATAAAAATTGTGGAAAAAATCAAAACGTTAAACTCGACTTTTTTGAAAATTTATAATTATTTATATATTCCACATCTATTTAAAAGGTTTTTACATTTTATAATATGGAGTATCTATTTTTAACATTTTCACTTTATTTATTACGTTTTCTTATTTTTTGGACATTTTTAAATTATTTCTCTCTTTTTTCATATATGCTTTTTTATATTATTATTACATTACTTTTAAAAATTATTTCTCTCTTTTTTCATATATTATTTCATATACTAGTTGATGGAGTACATGGCCCGGGAACCCCCGGCCCACAGACTCCTACTACTCCATCGAAGGCCCAACAGGCCTAACAGGCCCAAATCACAGTGCCCAGAGTACCAAGCAGCCCGCACTACGCGCCAGGGGTGCCTTCGGCCCCCTGGCCGAAGGGTCTAAAACTCTCACAGAACGGGTTTCTCAAGCAAACTAAGAAACTGGGAGAAAATGGCGAAAACAGTAGCCCTCGGTACTGTGAGCCCTCGGCACCAAGGTGCCCTCGGTTGGGGGAGCCTTCGGCTACTGCTCTATGGCCGAAGGCATCTCACTCGACAAGATATCTGCCTCACATGCGTACAGATCACCGTACTCTGCACAGACGTCCCATCCAACAGCCGCATTAAATGCGGCCACATGCGGCTGCCAGCGCCAACCAGTTGAGGCGACCCCTCGGCCAATGAGCGCTTGACACGTGTCCCTGCCCGGCATTTATTGCTACTATAAATAGCCCCCCATTTCCCCATTTGTAACCACGCTGAAAACGCTCCACCTTTATAATACACTCTCTCTCTCTACGTTTACCTGCTCCGACTTCTCTCTAAATTATTCCCCGTAGTAACCCTTCGGATATATACCCCCGGGTAGACTATCCATCATTTGGTGCTCTCGTTGAGAGGTTGAACAATCGAGTAAGAAACCCTCCCCCTCGACCAAACACAAAACACTAGCCCTCTATCAAAATGGTGAGGACAACACGTGCCAATTCAAAGAACGTAGAAGACAAGAACCTGGCCCTCGGCGACGTCAACGCCCCCGAAGCCTCTCACAGGGCTCCCGAGGGCGGTGTCATCGCTGGGCTGGAACAGGCGGCTGTCGACCTACGCCTTCAGATCCAACAAAATGCCCCCGATGCCCGCCTCGGCATCGAGGCCAAGAAGAAAAACCGGAGCGATGACCAAGTCAGCCCTCCGGTTCTCACCATCGACGTACAATCGGCGCTCTCCGCCTTCATCCAAACGCTCACTCAGAACCCGGGCGCCTTCGGCACCCTGGCTCCAGCTCACCCTCAGATCGGGGAAAATATCATACTTCCCCCTCTGCCACACCCCTTCGGGAATCCCACCCCTCGGGTGAGAAACGATGAAGGGGTGGTGGCCCAAGAAACGTCCTCCCAGGAAGTTCAGTCCCGGGACCACCATAATGACAACAGGGAAAGGCCCCGAACTTCCGCCCTCAACCGGCTCGGAGGAGGGCCAGACCGCCGAGGGGTCCAAGACCGCCGAGGGGGGAAAGCACTCCAAAGGCCCCAGGAAAGTGGGGGATCTGTTTCGAGGGCAGACGAGGAGCGTCCCCCTCGGGACAAAGGCAAGGCACCCCTTCATGCCGATGATGCTCGGCACCAAATCAACAAGGCCCACTCGGCCCGGGTTCGTTCGCAGGGGGCGGAGACCCTCCCAAGGGACCCCCGGGACGAGATTATTGCGGCCCTCCAACGCCGGCTTGACGAGATGGAGTCCAACAAAGCTCACGCCACCACCTCCACCTCTCACTCAGACCTCAAATACGAGGCCATGATGGCCAAAATGGAGGAATTACAGAAGAAGGTGGCCGAGGGCTCCGGGGAACCCGTCGTCCAACTCCTGACTCGGACGCCATTTACCCCGAGGGTATTGGCGGCCCGGATCCCGGAAAAATACCGAGGGCAACACATACAGCCCTACAGCGGGAAAACGGACCCCCAGGAACATTACGGCAAGTACCAGAATAGCATGATGATGGTGGGGGCATCAGACGAATATCTGTGTCGTTGGTTCCTCTCCACCTTAGAGGGACCAGCATACGAATGGTTCAACAGGCTGCCCGAGGGATGCATTGATTCGTGGCAAGAACTCGCCCAGCGATTCTTGACACAATTCGCCGGGAGGCGTCGCACAAGGAAGCACTTCTCCCACCTCCTAACAATACGCTAGAAGAAGGATGAGACCCTTCGGGATTTCCTGGAGCGCTGGAGGACGGAGGCCGACAAGGTCGACGGTGCTGATGACGGGACCCTCCTGGCCCTCCTACAAACCGTCCTCCGCACCGGTAACTTTTCAAGGAGCCTCATCATTGAACCCCCCCGTGACTACATAAGGGCTTTGCAGCGGGGGGACCGATATGCTGAGGCCGAAGAGGTGGAGAAGTACCACCAGCATCCGGACCAGCAGCCCCCGAGGGCTGACAACAAGCACAACCGAGGGCCGGGGGCTCCTCCAAATCATCCCAAGGCTTCGGGACCCTCTGTTGACCGCCCTCGGCAAGGCCAAGCCAAGCCCGGAGGAGGTTATAAGAGCAACCCTAAGACCTGGGCCCAGCCCATACTCCTGGACCGCCCCCGGACACCATTGACGCACCCCGTCAGCATCATCCTCGATTTTGCCGAGGAGAGGGGCCTCGTTGAGCGCGACTCTCGCGCACCCCCGGAGGTACACGCTATCAACCCTCAGTTCCCCTACTGTCGCTTCCATCGACACCAGGGGCACAGGACCGATGACTGCCATCAGCTGAAGACGGCCATCGAGAGATTAATACAGGCGGGGCACCTGTCCCAGTTTGTCCAGAGCCCTCGGCAGGAGGGACCTTCTCATCAGGGACCTCCCCGAGGGCACCATACGAAGGTAAATGCCTGGGTGAATCCAAACACCATCCCCCTCGGCAAGAAGAGGGAGATCGGAAACTTGGAAGAAGAGGAGGAGGAATACACCCACTACCAGGAGAAGAAACGCCACGTCCTCATGATCACCGGTGGCAACACAGGGGGCGATTCCACCAGCCAGCGAAAGAAGTGGGCTCAATCGCTTTATGTAGGGGAAGTCACTCATATGCCCCCGGTAAAGCGATTGAGGGAGGAACCCATCACCTTCACCAACGCAGATCTCCCTCCTACTGCTTCTCCTCACAGGGATGCCTTGGTGATTCGAACGGAGATCAACGACACCATTATTCACCGAACTTACATTGACACGGGCAGCTCCGTCAATGTAATGTACCTCAGCACCTTTAGAGAGCTGCATCTGGAGAGGGGGTCCCTTCGGCCCATTAAGACCCCTCTTGCCGGTTTCACCGGCGATACTATTGATTCCGAGGGGGTAATAACCCTCCTGGTGATCTTCGGCGACGGGCTCCATAGAGCCCAGCTCGAGGTGGAGTTCGTCGTCGTCAACATTGACTGCGCCCACAACATCATCCTCGGCCGGCCAGCCCTCGAGGACCTCGAAGCCATCATCTCCATGAGGCACCTCTGCCTCAAGTTTCCCGCCGAGGGGGGCATTGGCCACTCCCGGGGGAACCAAAAAAATGCCCGTGCCTGCTATCTTCAGGTCACTAAGAAGGTAAGCAAGACGGAACTCCGTGTTGACACCATCACCGGAGCCGTCGACCAGGAGGAAAGAAGGCCGAGGGCTAAACCAGCCGAGGACGTAGAAGACTTTGCGCTCGATCCGGCCCAGCCGGAGAGAGTCGTGAAGATTGGAGCCCAGCTCCCTGAAGATTTGAAGACCGGTATCACCGACGCCCTCCGCGCCTACTCCACTGTTTTTGCATGGGGGCCGGAGGACATGCCGGGAATCAGCCGAAGGGTCATCACCCACCGCCTCTCGGTGGACCCCTCGGTAAAAGCAGTGCAACAACGAAGAAGACCCCTCTCCGCCGAGAGAAGGGAATTTGTG